TAATATCCAATGGGAATAGTCTCCATTTGGACACAATGGCTATAATAGGTTGTATAAAAGGTAGTTGGTCTCACTCATTTAAAGCTGGGAATCTACAAGTTGACCTAGGAACTGGAAGTTTCCATCGCTCAGATTCAAATGTTTTCAGTTAGGAAACTTTGAGTAAGTTTCTTGGGGGCTGGGGTTGTGGCTCAATGGTGGAGCACTTGCCTCACACGTGTGAGGCCCTGGGTTCAAATCCTTAGAACCACATAAAAATAAATAAATAAAATAAAGGTATAAAATACACAAATAAACAAAAAAGATTCTTGACTATGACTTAGAAACAAATTAAGAATGGGACTATAGGTAAGTTCTATACTTGGGGTAAACAATTTCTTCTTCCTTTTCCTTTTCCTTTTATTCCTTCTTTACCTTTTGTTCTTTATTTTCTCTTCTGGTAATAGCCTTTTCCTACCTTACCCCACCTGCCAAAATTGACCAATCATAATCCTTTGTGTCTTTGGCCACAGAAATTGGCTTGAAGAATTGGAACAATACTTCAGCAGGGCCAATCAGAGACTTTTCAATCTGTATCTGGAAAGAAAAGCCCTATTCCTCTCTAGTTGTGAGGTTAAATGGGTAGAAGTCTGGAAGCTCTGAGTAGCCATGCATGTCCACTGTTTCCAACAAGATCTGCTGGGCTGGGGCTGGGGCTCAGCAGTAGAGCACTTGCCTAGCATGTGTGAGGCCCTGGGTTCGATCCTCAGCACCACATAAAAATAAATAAATAAATAAATAAATAAATGTATTGTGTTTAACTACAACTAAAAAATACATTAAAAAAAAAAAGATCTGCCACAATTTAGACAAACAGAAGTTAAGGAAAAGCTCTAATTGTCATGGGCTCAACCATTCTTCATTTACATTTCTTTTTTTCTGTATTTTTCAACAGCTTTATTAGGATACAATTCACTTAATGATGTAGTGCACTCATTACAAGGGAAGAATTCAATAGTTTTTAGTATATGAACAGTATCATGGAACCATCACTGCAGTCAGTTTCAGGATATTTTCACTCACCTCCCCAGCTCTCAGCAGCCACAAATTTACATTCTGTTTCAGTATAAATTTGCTTATCCTTAACATTGTATATAAATGGAATCATCGACTATCTGATCTTTCATGACTGGCTTCTTTCACTGTAGCATAATAGTTTCAATATTCATCCATCATGTAGCATGTATCAGTACTGTATTCCTTTTTATGGCTTAATATGTCATAATATGAAGGACAGTTGGATTGATATCACTTTTTAGCTATTCTGTATATGCTTTTCTGTATACAAGTTTTTACAGAGATGTGTTCTTATTTATCTTGGAGATACACCTCACAGTGGAATTGCAGGGTCATATTGCTGCCAATGTTTACTTTTTGAGGTACTGTCACACTCTTTTCCAGTGGGGCTGCACCTTTTTACATTTCATCCCCCCAAACACTTGTCATTGTCTGTTTTTGGATTGTATTTAGCCATCCTAGTGAGTGTAAAGGGCTATCACATTTTGGTTGAACATCTTTTCAGTTGTTTATTTGCCAGTTTTATGTCATTTTTAGAAAGGATTTATTCAGATCATTTGCCTATATTTAAACTGGTCATTTTAAAATTAGTAGATTATACTCTTTAGAACAGTTTTAGATTTATAGAAGAAAAGAGTAGTTTTAAAAATCATTTTACTATTATTGAGTTGTGAGAATTATAGATTCTAGATTCTAGTAACTTATCCGTTTAGTCATGATTTACAAATATTTCCTCCCATGTTGTGGGTTATTTTGCTCACTTTCTTGATGTTCTCTCTTGAAGTATTATTTTAAATTCTGATGTTAAATTTGTTTTTTCCCCCATAGTTGTTTGTGCTTTTAATAGTCCTGGGTCACAAAGATTTATTTCTACATTTCTTCAAGGATATAATTGTTTTAGTTCTCACACTTAGCTCCGTGATCCTCTTAAGAATTAATTTTTGTGTAAGAATGAGAAAAGAATCATTCTTTGGCATGTGATTACCAGTTGTCCTAGCACTATTTGTTGAAAAGACTGTTCTTTCCCTATGAATTATCTTGGCATTCTAGTCAATAATTGGGCTAGGTGGGTAAGTCAGGGTTAGAGCGTTTGCATAGCATGCCCAAATTGGGTTGGGTTTGATCCCTCCTTCTTCCAAATCAAGTGACTACAAATCTCTGGACTCTCCATTTTATTCTTTGTGACTTATGTGTTTATCTTTATGCATATTTCTTTTGGCCCATTGTTTCACCTATTTCTGTTGGTTATCATAGATTTTATTATACATATATAAACAAAGCCTAAAGTTACACAGTATCTTATCTTAATTTGAATAACACAGTCATTTAAACTATTTAATTTGTATCATATCCTCTTCCCTTCTAACATGCAATTATAGAATATTATAGTTTTGTCTTTTTTATTTTCTATCCTTATAATTTAGACATTATTATTACTATTGTTATTATTTAAACAGACAGTAATTCTAGACATCATTGTCATTTTGTTTCTTCATAGTCCTTTTCAAATATCAGCTAATACTTTTTGAGTAATTTTTATTCCTATGGAAATGCCTCCTCTCATTACTTCAGTTTTTTTCTTGAAAGACAGTTTTTCAGGATACAAATATTTCAGGGTACACAATTTAAATTGAGATTGTTTTCTTTCTCAATGTTTGAGAGAAATATTATCATTTGGCTTTCATCTTTGGTATTGAGAAATCTATCAGTTTGTCATTCCTTTGTATTTTCTATTTTCTTTTACTAATTTTAAGGTTCTTGTGTCTTCTATTTTGCATTTTATACATGATGTGCCCAAGCTGAAGTTTTTTTAAATTTTTACTTCAATTCCAGAAAAATTCTAGCCACTATTTCTCCAAAAAGTTCTCTCTACTTCTCTTTTAATCTCTTTTCTGGGACTCCAATTAAATACTGAGACACATATTACATGATATCCAAAAATAATTGAAGTAAGGCTTAAATATGAAAGGCGATTTAAATAAAGGAGAATATTTGTATGACTTCAGGACTAGGAAGGATTTCTTGAACAAAATATAATAAAATATAACGTAGAGGACAATAGTAATGAATCTGATTATGTTAAGGTTAGCACCTGTAAAAAATAGCATTAGACATGTAAAAAGTTTTTTACTTGTTGGCTTGAATTCAAATATATGCATCAATTATTGAATTATTCTTCTGCATCTTCAAATTACCCTCTTGGTCAGTAGAAATCCCTTCAAATTAGCTCTTGATCATTGTTGACGCAATTCTAACAATTTTTATAGTTTTCTCACTTCCTGTTATGACATTATAAACTCAGCCCATATATTTCCTATTTCAGATCCAGAGCTGGCCATTTATTCAAATATTCATGGTTTGTTTAGTGAAAAGTAGAATTTGAAGCCCACAATTGGTTTCCCTTTGTAGTATTGTGGGGAACTAACTTATGATATTGAAAACTGTTAAAGGGAAGCGGCATTTATTTTACTTTCCGGTATGAACTGTACCTCGGGGTCCCAATAGCTCACCAGAGAAAGGAATGTTTTTTTTTTTTCTTTCCACATTTTTTTTTATTGGTGCATTATAGTTGTACATAATTATGGGATTTTTGTTACATATTTGTACATAAAAAAAACAATATAATTTGGCTAATATCACTTCCCAGTTCTTCCCCTCTCCTTTCCTCCCTCCCACCCTTTTGTCCTTAATGGCTCAGTGGCGTTGCTTCACAAACCACTCCTCCTTGCAAACTGCCAGGCGCCATCTTGACTTGGTTGTGGCCCTCAACACTAGTTCAACATGGGGAACAGAGGAACATGATATTCTATATCACATCGATTCAAGTAGCAGAATTTCAACTTTAGGGACTTCACAAGACAAAACCTTGGCTTCATTAACAGTAAAGAAAATATTTCAAAAAATAAAAAAGAGGGCTGAGGCTGTAGTTTGGTGGTAAAGTGCTTGCCTTGTATGTGTGAGGTACTGGGTTCAATCCTCAGCACCACATAAAATAAATAAAGAGATGTGTGTTCATCTACAACTAAATAAACATTTAACCAAAATAAATTAATAAAATAAAAAAGAGGAGGAGAGAAAATGAGAGGACTTATAGATTAAAATGTACTTAAGAGATATATCAGCCAATTTTAGTGATTATTGGATATTGATTATTGAATATTGATAGTAATTGGCCATGCATTATTGACTCAAATTATAAAAGCATTTATAAAGCAAATGGAGAAATTTGAACAAAGAATAGATAATTTGATGATATTAAACCATTATTATTATTTTTTTTTGTGTGTGTGTGTGTTTTTAAACATGTTACTGGGTTGGTAATGGTATTACAGTTCTAGTTTTATGAAGAGTTCTTTTGGTCAGAGAATTATACTAAAATAGCTACATAGGATAAAAAATATACCCATAGCCTAAATAAATATTGTATTAACCAGTTAAATAGTGTTGGAAATTTAATAGCAGAAACATAAAAATAAACTACACCTATCAGTTTACTCTAGAAGTCTGCAAAAACTGTCTTAATCCCCCACCCACCCCTCGTAATGTACTATGTTTTACCTTCTTAGAATCTTTAGCTGGTTCAATGAAACTGTAGGAGGCTAGACTATTCCCTCTGGGGATAGAAGTTTCTAAGTTCCCTATCTTGATTATATTTTATGTTACATATAAAAAATAATAAAATAAAATAAAATATCTACATAGGAAATGATATGGTAACTGAGAATTTTCCTCTAAATATCATAATATAGTGGGATACAGAATGGTAGAGTAGATGAAAGAAGATTGACATGAGATGAATGATGGGTACATTGGGGTTTATTAAATTATTTGCTCTATTTTGTATATGCTTGAGTATTTCCAAAATAAGACTTTTTAAAGTGAAAAGATAATATACCACCTGGGACATTAGATATACTAGCTATATCCAATGTCTTTTTTCCCCCCAGGGAAAAGCATGAATGCAGTCCCCTACTACCACAAATTATGCGGTCAAGTTTCCCACATTTGGGGAAATTGCAAGGATCAGCACATCTGGAGTGCAATGTATAAGCCACTGGGAAAAACACCTTCATGGTCATGGTCTCTCCCCTGCCAGGTAAGTATGATACATTCAATGTCTTAAACCAAAAAAAGTTAATATCAAGTATATAAGAAAGTTCTTCATATCAGTAAGAAAAAAGGCAGAAACCCAATTTAAAAATTGGGCAAAAGGATAGGAATAGGCAATTGTCAGAAGAAGCTTTAATGATTATGAAATATATTAAAAGATATTCAGCTTTAATGTCAACTAAGAGAATGCGAATTAAAATCACATTGAGATATATTTGTTTAACTATTATTTTGCCAAACATTAAAAATGCCTGATGACACACATGTTGTAGAAAAATGGAACTGTCCTTCACTGTGGTAGGAATTAAACATTTCATATCCCCTTTGGAGACAAACTGGCAATATGTAGTAAGTCTGAAAATTTGCATAGCTCTCTGCAATAAAAAATTTCAAGACACTTGCCTTCTGTAAAGATGGGATGCAGGTGTTTAACCTGGTGTGCCAAACAGATGCACCAACTCCAAACTTTGAATCTGAAGATGATATTAAAAAGTAGGAACAAGCCGAGCACCTGCAGTGCAGGTGGCAGCAGTGAAGGCACTTGGGAACAGTTTCTGGAGGTAGCAATAACCATATTCCCAGAAACAGCAGCAGCATTCAGCATGTACCACTTCAGAAATAGAAACTGCAGGATTTGTGCTGGGAAGCCATGCAGCATTATCCTCATTTCATCAATTCCACAGTATGGTATCAGCTGGTGCACCTTCTGAGTTGTTTCTCAAACCCTTTCTGAGATTCTATGTTTCTTGTTGAAGTGATGTATAATAGCTTTCTGTTGTTTATACTTAAGAATCTTGCTGATGTGGAAAGCAATTTGGTAATATCTATTAAAATTGCAGATATGTGTATCTTACAACTTAGCAATTCCCCTGTTGCATATATACTTTAGAGCAGCATCGTCCACTAGAAATTTCTCTGATGATGGCAATGCCAACAATGTGCTAGCTACTAGCTACATGTAGCTACTAGACACTTGTAATGTGGCTAGGGTAACTGAGGAATTAAAAAATTAATTAAATCAACTAATTGCTCAAGTTGATTTTAATTAATTTAAATTTAAGCAGCCACATGTGGTTAGTGGGTACTTTATTGAACAATGCAACTCTAGCAAAATTCTTGCTTCTGGGTACCAAATACTCATTGCAGCAATATTTGTGATAATAAAAAATCAGAAAAAACTGTATTCCTACAAATAAATATCATAAAATACTGCAAATGAAAGAATTGAATTTATGTTACTTAAACTCAGTATATTATCAACATAATAAGTGTAAAAGACACAGTTTGGAGAGAAAGCATAAGCTGCTCTTGTGGAGGGAAAATTTGGGACAGAAGAAAAAAGCAAGTTTAATCATTACATGATGTAATACCACTTTAAATAAAGTGGAAGAAAACACAAAGTTATTCTTTATATTATTTGCTGAATTGAAAAATGTAGCCAAATTCTTAACAAAGCAAAAGCAAAAGCTTCACACTAAATTAATGAGAGTGGGTCTCTCTGGTAAGAGAGGAGAGCACATCAGAGGTCTTTGGCTATATAAATTCTAACATTTATTAAAGCTGGAGTGAGTAAACACTAATTTGTTTTATTATAATTAGAGTTTATATTTCTGAATATTTTGTATAAAATATGAAATATTTTTAAAGTTATATGCATATGTCCTCTTATATGTAGAGTAACAGCTAACCTGTTTCTTCAGCCTCCTTTCATTACAATAATCACATTTATTTGCTCACTCAAATTCATTCTTCTCTTCCATGATAAAGAATATTTATCTGGGTTCAGATGTTCCATTTCCCAGTCCCTGTTGCAGGACTAATCGTGTGGGTGTGTGGCTAAACCCTTGCCAATGGAAGGTAGGTGGAAATGATGTGTGTAACTTACCTTTATAGATTCCTGGTCCTGGCATCTGTTCTTCTGGTAATAGGAATGGCAAAAACCAAAGAGACCTTGGAAGCCAGGTATGCTATGCGAGAGGAAGTTCTGCCACCGGCCTCAGTTTCTGTGGAACAGATGCTGCCTGCAACTATCATCTGAGAGAGAAATGGACATCTTTTTTTTTTTTTTTTTGGTACTGGGAATTAAACCCAGGGGCACTCAACCACTGAGCCATATCACCACCCCTTTTTCCCTTTTTTTGTATTTTATTTAGAGACAGTATCTCACTGAGTTGCTTAGGGCCTCACTAAGATGCTGAGGCTGGCTTTGAACTTGCAATCCTCCTGCCTCAGCCTCCTGAGCCACTGGGATTACAGGCGTGCGCCACTGCACCCAGCAACATCCCTTTTCTTAAGCATCATTGTTGCTGAATCTCATTACAGTAGCTCCTTTGGACATGCAAACATTTCCCTCTCTATTTTGCACTTACTGTGTTCAAAGTTAGTTACTTATTAGCAGTGATTTACTTCCTATAAGCAGTGTTTATTATTCTGCTTACTAAAGTAAAAGATTAGTAGTATGTATAAAATAATAGTAGCTTTTACTCCTATTTAGGGAAGGGAAAAGGTATGATTTTTTTTTTAACAACTGCTAGATATAGGGAAATGAGTAGAAGACAATACTGACAACATTTTCATAGTACTTGCAATTTACTAAGAATTTTGCACTTGACACATGTGGGCCTGTCTCTAGTTCCAAACTCTCACTCCCAGATAAAAACAAAAAACAAACAAAAACCCACCACGCCCCAAAGTCAGGACTGGCTAAGATCAGTCAGTGAGTTAGTAGCAGAATGTCCTGGTTTATTTCCTACCCCATGTCTCACCTCCTGCCACTGCTGCCCTTCCTTGGAGTGTAGAGATAATTTGGCAGCTATATAGTGCTTAAATTCTATACCCAGTAATTTACTGAACATGAGGACAGTTATGTATACTCCCGGGAGTTCATCAATCTGGGCCACTGAGTGTTCACTTACACACATTGGAGGAATAGCTTCTTAAAGCTAGTTAGAAAAATTATATAATTCTGTATTAATTCTGGTATATTGTCTCAAATGTACAGTGATATTTTTCACCCTAGAATTTTAGAATTTATTTCCCAGTAAGGCAATGCCTCTCCAATTTTCCCTTGAAGTTTCCTCGTGGCCAAGAATAGCGAAGAGCCCTTCATTCACATGCACAAGGTAAGACCAGGGTTCTGGGAATAGAAACCAAATCTCTTGTGAGCAAAATTTCTTTGAAAAGTTGTATTTTACTTTTAAGTTTTATGCTGATTTTTGCATTCTGGTACACAACATGGATGTATTTATTTTACTATCAAAAGATCTTTTAAATCATCAGTTACTTTTTTTTTTTCTTTCTGTACTGGGGATCAAATGTAGGGCCTCACACATGTTTACTGAGTTACAACCCCAGCCCTCATCAATTACATTTCTTAATTGTGATTTGTCTCCCTTCGAAATCTTTTGTGTAGTGATGCAGGCCTATAATCCCAGCTATTTGGGAAGCAGAGGCAGGAGAATAACAAGTTCAAGGCCGGGCTGAGCCTCATAGCTAAACACTGTCTCAAAATAAGATAAAAACGGCTGGAGATGCAGCTTGGTAATACAGCTCCTGTTAGCATATGCAAGGTCCTAGGATTGATCCTCAATACTATGATTGATGAATAAATAAATAAATACATAAATAAATAGATATATAAATAGTCTTTGTGGAAAATTGATGATTTCTTTGTTTTGTGTCCAGGTACACCTTTTTCACATCCCCAAGGGCACAAGTCTTCCATTTTTATAGTCATAGATAGACTATCCGGCTGGAGACTACTTGATACTTTTCGTTGCAGAATATCATTTCTCATTCATGTCTCTGAGGTGAGGTTCAGGTCAAAATTGCCCAGTGTTCAAATATTTCTACAGGGTCTATTTAAAAACTGGGACTAACTATATATTCATGAGAACCTAGAAAATAAAAATCTGGGGGGAGTGAGGGGAGAAAAGGGGATCACTTATACCTTGGCTGGGAAGAATACAGGCAATAGAACTTTAGTGCTGGAGAGGATGCTAAAGATTATTTAATTCATAACATCACTTCATAGAAGAAGAAACTAAAGTCCAGATAGAGCACGATTCTTGCCTCCAATTATAAAACTAGCCAAATATCAACATCCCCCTTGATTAATAGTTAAGATGTCTCTCAACCACATTGTAGATTACTACTATTTATATATTGTACATTGGCCATGTATTTTTTTTAAGAAAAGAGTTTTCTTTTTTCTTTTTTTTTTTTTAGTTATAGTTGGACACAATACCTTTATTTTGTTTATTTATTTTTATGTGATGCTGGGGATCGAACCCAGCACCTCAGGCAGGCTAGGTGAGCAGTCTACCACTGAGCCACAATCCCAGCCCTGGCCAGGTATTTTTTGATATATTTTTTATTAGTTATACATGATAGTAGAATGTATCTTGACATGTTATACATATATGGAGTATAACTTCTCATTCTTCTGGTTGTACATGATGTAGAATTACATTGGTTATGTAATCATATATGCACATAGAATAGTAATGTCAAATACAGAGCACAAAAAAAGATGATAAATATTTGAAATGGTGAATGTTAATTAGCTTTATTTAATTATTCTACATTGTATTCAGAAATCAAAACACCATGCTCTACCCCTTTAATATATACAACTATAACTTGTCTATTATACAATAAAAAATTTTAAACTAAAAAATTAAAATGTGCATTGGCTATAAGTTGTTTCCCAAATTTATCAAAAAGTTGTTGAGCATTTATAGTTTCTTCACTGTCCATGGTGGTCACTATAATTGAGGCAGACATAGTAGATGATTTTAGAATCCTTTTGCATTTGAAATACTGTTTAAAATCAACATCATTTTAAGCAACATTTAGCGGCAATACCTAGTAAATATTCCTGAATCATAAAAAATCAATTATTTAAGTAGAAATAACATGTGATGTAATAATTCAGAGGCCTAGAGCAGAGGTTGGCAAACTTTTGCTGTAAAGGGCCAGATAGTAAATATTTT